AAAGCGGTAGTTTTGTTTTTTTGGGGGGGGGGGGGGTGTGGCCCCTTTAAACACATTGTTTTACTTGACATGTATATGTTCTCTGATACGTCTGATCTGTAAATGCTGAACTTGTATATTTTAGGATTTGTTTTCTATAACATACATTTTGTTTTTCTTTGTGTACCTCAAATTTTTTTTAAGATTAAAAAAGTTACATTTGAGACATTTCTGTTTTATCTGAAACCCGTCTTATGAAGTTGCTTTAATCTCCTGTGAAGAAGACATTGGACAGCGAGGAGGAGAAACAACCCCACAAGACCATAATCCTCATACATTCCCCACATGTAACACTATATACATCACTCTTCAGAAATCCTCCACCTTTTATCATTAAAAAGTCATCCTTGAGCTCCAGTCAGTGAGTTTGCCCAAGCTGTGATGATGTCATCAGGCAAGAGGAAGCATTTCCTCAGTCTCCCCTCCCCCAGTGATCAGTCTGCTGCAGGCAGGAGGAAGCATTTCCTTAATCTCCCCTAGTAATCAGTCTACTGCAGGCAGGAGCAAAAATTCCCTAAGTTCCCCCTCCCCAGTGATCAGTCTGCTGCAGGCAGGAGGAAGCATTTCTCCAGTCTCCCCTCCCCCCAGTGATCAGTTTGCTGCAGGCAGGAGGGACCATTTCTCCAGTCTCCTCTCCCCCCAGTGATCAGTTTGCTGCAGGCAGGAGGAAGCATTTCTCCAGTCTCCCCTCCCCCCAGTGATCAGTTTGCTGCATGCAGAAGGAAGCATTTCCTCAGTCTCCCCTCCCCCAGTGATCAGTTTGCTGCATGCAGGAGGAAGCATTTCCTCAGTCTCCCCTCCCCCAGTGATCAGACTGTACATTGTAACTCGGTAGCCAATCACAAGGTGAGAGGCTGCAGCAGGGGCTGATCTGTGTCAGACACAGAACAACACAAGCCTCAGGATTTACATGACTGTGAGCCAACATCTCAGCCCAGGAAGTAGATGGTGACCCTGGATGATGCTTAAACAAAGATGGTGCCGCACTTCTGGAGAGAAAAGCAGATGAAGACAGGGAGAGCCCTGTTATAAATACCAGCACGAGCTTGCCCCGTGTTGGTCTACGAGAGGTGTAATAAGCAAATGGGTCCATCAGAACCCACACACAGCTTGAGGGCCACTTCTAATCGGCCTTTATAACTCCATTCTCAAGGCTTACACTGTGTTGTCCAAACCTTCCTCAACCAGCACCCAAATAAATGCCCCCGCCCCTTTTTCCTGCTTTTATATCCTCCCAACCACACTTTAGAATTGTTAGTTTTCCAAACACGGCCACGAATCTTGGTTGTGAACACCTCATAGTTCCTGATAAAGAAGGAGGAGGAGCCCGGACACTCAAGACTTAAAATGACTTATTTTGTCCAAACACTAAGAGACTTCTGCTCAACAACCAAAGTTTTGTTCTGGTTCCCAAACCTCTAACAGCCTTGTTGTGGTCCAAAAGGTCCAAAGTATGACATTTTACCCAACCCCCCCCCCCTCAGAAAGTTTTGGGTTGGTCCACGATCATATTTGGATCTGTTTCCAGTACAAAACACGGATTAATGTTCCTCACACCGAAACTCATTTGTGGGTGATTTATGGCCACATAT